CGAAACAGCTTACCGCAGGGACAGGTGGAAGAGGGGTGAGACGAGTCTGCGCGCAGCCGGGCGTCGCGACGCCTTAAACTTTGAGCATACCGTTCATTTTATAAACACGTACTATGGAACAAACTAATTATTCATCGGTCGAATCTACTAGAAAACTGATTAGATACAAAACATTTGTGTTCGTGAGATATTCAATGAAATACTAAGCAGACTTATTACGCTTATTATCGAAATTATCGTAGCAAACCTTATAGTTCCGATAGTCGAAGCAGGATTCATTCCTAATACTTCGGTAACTAATTCATTTCTTAATACTTTCTCAGTTTCAGCAGTTTTAAAAATTAATCAATCTACCTCGAAGATACAAAACCCTAAAGAATATATCCAAGTATTACGAAACAGTAATCGAACACTCCTAACAATTTCTTAGAGCGGAGATTCCGTAGAGCACGAAAGGCGTTCGGAACTATCACAAAGTGAAGCAAAAATCTTCCTCAATCACCAACCACATTACAACATAAGCATTGATAGCGTTCAGATTTTTCTATGCCCGACCATAGAGACCGCGCGCGCATTCGAACCGAATGAATCCGTGCCGACTAGGCCCCGTGCGAATCGCACCACCCGGTACGTAATTAGCGATGCAATCCACGCTCGCGGAGCGCATATTCAATGGAAGGTTCATCGGCGTAATGTTATTATAATAGTGGCGCGTTTTGCATATGTGACTGGGTAGCGGGTGCAAAGTGGTAGGGGGAGGAGGTGGAGTGGACATCGCGCGGGCGCCGGGAGAAGACGAGCACTGCGCGGCGAACGTAGCGGACGGCCAGCGGAAGCGCGCAGGGGGCGGTGGACGATTTTACACGGGCTTCGCCGCACGCCGGCCGTATTTGCATGGTAATGATATGCGACGCGGCAGGACCGATGGAACGGGGAGCTGGTAAAACGAACGGACCGAGGGAATTGGCCGGGGCTGGCGGAACGCCGCCGGTATTTCGCGCACAAGTTTTGAATGTCGCGGCTAAATGCATCGGTTATTACTGGTTAATTCAGCTGGCGGAAAAGCGAACAGCCGGCCGCCGGGGCTTTATTTATCTTAGCGCACCTGTTTTCCCGGATTTTATTCGGCCGCGTGCGCCGTTTCCGGTATACGCAGTGATTCTCGTGTCCGCCTTTGGCGTCGAATAGATATTAATTTTCTAGAAACTAGAAATTCTGCGTTAGACAGAACTTTCGATAGAAAAAGATATTAACGTATGGGGAGTGTAATTGATGATAGGAGTTCGAGATTAGTTAGCTCTTTGGCGTCTTGTATATTTAACGGAATTAATCCTTGAACCAGTGGTACTATTGTATTGCGGCTTCAATAATTATTGTGATAACTTAATTCCCGATCCGCTATAATATAGTTACCGAGACACTGTGAAGCTTCCAAGTATTCCTTCAGGGCGGTGATACGCAACGATTTCGAAAATCTCTGGCTGCTGCGGTAACCGTGCGCACACCGCGCCTAACGATCGACGAGGTATTGCGCGAGCGGCAACGCGTCGTCAAGAAGCAAGAACCTGGTCTTCGCGTTTCTCTGGGATAAATGAGTCCCAGGTAGCCGTCCGGTAACCCTCGAACGGGCTGATTCGTCGCGCGGCGAATCTCTGAAAATAACCGAAACGCTTGCAACTCACGCGTCCGTGTTTCGTTACACGGTAGGATAGCCTGCCTGTGGACGATGATAGAAAGCGATGGATAGGGGAAGTAGGGGAGGATGAGGAGGGCAGGACGAGAGGCGATGGAACGCGTGACCAACATACGACACGGTACACGGCCCGTAAAAGGTACACGGCTCTCCGCGAAATTGGACATCGGCCGCGGCAGCGTAATAGGCTCACGGGACGGACGGAAAGTTCAAGTTACCGTCCGCTAACGATCCCGAATGATAGCGCTACGCTTCGCTTATTACGCCGTTACGTATTTTTACGCGCGAAATGGAAATTACACGGTGTCGGGGCTCGATCACGATCGATCAAACGTTCGCCGCATCCGCTCGCGGCGGCGATCACTTCGAGAACGGTGCTCCGCGCCGCGGACGCGTCACGGTCCGCGGGGAGCACAACGGTACCGCCGCGGCGCACGGGAAACGCAGCTTCTAATGAAATAAAAGGCTACCGGGCGAAGGTCCCCGGCCCGGCCCGATTAAGTCGTTACGCCGCGTTTGCCGATCGAACGGACGCCGAGACCCCGCTCGTTAATCCTCTTACCGCAGAACAAACTACGCCGGTGTAAACGATTAAAGCGATGACGCAAAGAACCAGCTGACTGACAACGCTGATCTCCGAGCAAGGACAAGTTTGTTGTACGCGTGTCGAAGCTGAACAGGCTGGTCCCGGAATAGCGAACCTAGGCACTGGGAACTATGTACTCGCGTAGTGGTCGCATTTTGTCCCCGAGTGTGGTTACAGTTGGCTTTGCGCTGGAAGCTTCCTTGTTATGCATCTAGTGGGATGTATAAGATGAAGATAAGTTCTTGATTTGTAATGGGACACTAGAATGCTGATCTCACTTTCTTCGTAGGTTTTAGAAATTCTCGTTTTGTCAAGGTTCAGCCGAGTTGTAACATTATTCAACTGGTTGGGTGATTTTGGCAAGCTCGGCGACCTTTCCTTTAGACAGGTCAGGTCTTCAGACATAGTCAGAACATGGAGTAGTGCATCATCACGTATTGAATTTCGATTAAAAATTGGAATGCTTAAAATGAAACGTGGCGTACTTGGATCTAACAAACGATTCTTCAATGATCGTCTCGTACTAACACGAATTCGAATGATCGGTGAATGTAGCGCCTAAAGAGGCTTTGTTAGGTGAGTTTCATCGATGAGTCCCCTTGACACACCCAGACCGAAAGGCTCCATAATATTTTAATTCGTCATGATACACGGTACCCGTTCGGGCTCAGCTTGGGGTCTGGTTAGGCCTTGTCTCATCAACGATGCCCATCCTCGGGAAGCTGATTTTACGAGTTCGCCACGTCTTGCTCGGAGACTATAAGCAGGCTACGGCTAACTATAAGAGTCCGGGATCCTGACTTGCTCACAGAACATCGATTACGCCGGAGTAAACCGCTCGTGCACCATTCTACTTACGCTTTCGTCGCGCGGTGGGAAAAAGCGACGGGTCGAATGCCGGTCGATTTTTATCGAAGCCAGAGTACAGGGACCACCCAGGCGTTTATACGCGAGCTGACACGCACGTACCGCGTGCACGCGTTCGCGTTTGTGAGGCATAGAGGTGGCAGAGCCGGGCGCGGGCAGTCAGAGCCTGGCTGGCTGGCTGGCTAGCTGGCTGGCTGGCAGGCGGTCAGGCACCCACACTCAAAGCGCTAATTTTCTCTCTGTCCGTTGGCGACCCTAGCTACGTGCCGCGGCGCGGTGCGGCACGGTGCTCACACAAACGTGGCAAATTAACAGGCACGCAAATGAGCGAGTTCACGCGCTCGCTTTCGTGTTCCCCCGCGCCTCTCTCGTCACAATTGGACACTAATAAACGCGCCAATGTGTCTCCCTCCTTGCCTGACCCACACCCTGCATCCCTTATCCCGCTACTATTCTCTACCATCCAGTTCTCTGTTGCGCCTTCTGTGCCTGTCTCTGTCTATCGCTAATAAATCCTATCTGCCGTTCCTGCCTCTCTCTTTCTCGCTCTCTGTCTGACTATCCAACTCTTCGTTTTCCGCGATGGTTCCGAGATTATCCTCTCTCTTCGGACACCTCCTTTGTCCTTGACTTCCTCAGACCTGCCACTATGCACGGTTCTTGGCGGGGTCATTGTTAGTGCCTTGCTACAAATAACGGATGACTAAGTAGCGGATACTTTCGCGCTAGTGGAAGAGATTTTTGCTCGTGGTTTTGCTTTTTAGATAGGATTTCGGGACTTTTTCATCCTGTAATGATTACATTTATTAAAGTAGTGTTATGGTTCTCTAGTTTCAATCGACACTCGTGACGTTTCGTCGAAACTAGTACGACGTCAGCC